CTGTTTACTTCTCCCGTTGCAGTCATCAGTGTGTGTCTGGGCGTGTGTACAAGGTCGCGGGAAGGCGTCCGTGTGAAGCTGTGTGAACCGGTGTCGGGCCCGGACAGGTGGGCCTGAACCCCCGGCGGCGCTGTACCTGGCCGAGTCGTGCTGGTATGATGGCATGACTTTGTCCTGATCGATCAAGCAACGGGTGAAGGTGACCTCGCCCTCCCCCCCCTCCCACCCGCGCCCCTCCTTGCAGTAAAACACCGCAGCCGCCCACCAAGGCCTCCGCTAACCCGTGGTACGACGCGGCGCTCCTCACGCTCCGCTCACCTTCTTCATACCCTGGTCACCTTCCCGCCCTAACTGCACCCCTGTGACCCCCTCCTGACCCCTCCTGACCCCCCCTGGCCCCTCCCCAGCTGGTGGACGGACATATGCTCCCAAGGCCACGTGCAATGCGTCTCCCTCGTTGCATCACCACGGTCTTGCAACCCAAATGACTGATTCATATCCAACTTCGCTGATTGTGAGTCAGCCCGCCCGCACCGCCCGAGTAGCGGTGACGAGGGGAGAAATGTTCGAATGAATGTATTCACATGACACGTGGGAACTCGAACACATGCGCGCCGACTCCCCCGCGAGCGACTCATACCCTGCGTAGACGGGGATACGCTCGCCACATATGTTGGCAATACACACTTGACGAGCGTCCATCATGAGGGAGGAAAGTGAAGGAAAGTCTCCGGTCGCATTCCCTGGCACGTTTCCCGCGGGACCACGAAGACGACATCCATCATGGCCTAACATTAGATACTTTCCCTCCCCAAAAGGCCTTCGTGCCATCTGCTGGCTCTCGGAAACGCTTTTAAAAACGGAGAGTTTGTTTCTGAAGTTAGGACTCGAACAGGACTTCAGAGGAAGATGAATTGAATTTTACTAGTAGAGATTCGAGCGGAGAGTTCAAACGCGTGGTATTTTAAAGTTTGTTCTGCACAGTGTTCCCCAACGTGAAAAAGCGAGGATGTGACGCGCAGAGCATACACCGTGTCCCTGAGGTGCACATGACACAGCTGGGGGGGGGGGGGCATCCATGTAATGAAGGAATGCGCCTGATTAGCAGGGCTGTGCAGGAGGCGGCTGCATACGTGCGACTGGACGCGTGGAGGGCGGTGTAGCCAAGGAGTGCTTTCTGGTGTGACGCAAGGCGTGTGCTTGATGCAGTATGCATGTGCTTTTATGGTAACAGGTACTGATAAGGTGTGCATGGTACAGTCCGCATGCGGATTGAAAGTAGAGCAGCAGCTGATAAGGCGTGCATGGTACAATATACATGTACGTTTAAAGCTATAGGGACAGATGACATGTGTATGATCCAGCATACACAGACACACATGGCACCGGGATCGAGGAACTGCATGCACCGGTACTCGAGCTCTGAGAGATAGATAGGCCTGCAGCCCGAGAGTCGCTCCTGCATTGATTATCGATCCCCAAGGCTGTGGGGAAGATCCTCCCGCGCCGAGTCTTCGACCGCGCTGCCGCCTTCTCTCCTGCTCCTGCCATTTCGTCACCGCCGATGTTATTATGTTCATCACAGTCTCGACCGTGGTTAACTTGCTGTGCCGTATGCATCACACGCACTGCATCTAATAGATAGACACCACACGCTATCGACTCTCCCCGTTGTGTCGCTTCAGTCACCATACACGACAATCACTCAACAAAACAGGTACTCACAACAGTGCTGTTCCGGTCACTTCATACTCTCACCATATTACACCACACAACCACCACTCTCACCCTACCGTTACGTCACCACACGCTACGCTATCATCACCACAATATCGATGGTCGCCATACCAGGCACCGCGCTTACCACATCCTTCGCGGGTCAAACCACGCGCCACACTCGGCCAGTGTCCTCATTACCAATGTACGTCCTTGGGATAATCTGTCCTTGCCAGCTGGTAGATCTTATATCTCAACAAGGGACAGATTGCTAACCACATATTCATCAACCACAAATCACGAAGGAGAAACAATAGATACACAAAAACAGAAAACAAAAATCAATAAACCCGTATCCCTCCCCGTCTGTGTTGTGTGGCTTACGCCCGTTTCCCCCCAGTTCCCAGGACAGTGAAAGTCTGCCTCATTATCTTGTTTGTCAAGTCACCTGTTTTGACCTGCGAACTCACCTGGTACACTTGACAGTATTGTCTTACTCGCTCTGACCCGCTCTCATGTTGTCAGGCAACTTATAAATCTGGTTGTATGATAGATATGTTGTCTGTGCCTGCTGTTTCCCCCGGGCTGTGTAACTGATAACTGGCTTCATTAAAACGAGGAGGGAGCCAGAGTGGTTTGCACATTTCCATTACAGTTACAATGTTGTTATGACTACCGTGTGTTTATCCGCCCTTTAACACAGCTGGACGACCTGCCAAGTTTGTCACACAGCGACACAGCTTCGAATTTATTGCGATAAAAATAAGCTGTGCGGATTTTTTTCGTTCGACAAGGTGGTTTTCTTGCCATTCCCAGACAATAGACGGATAAAATGCATATATACCACACACGCAATAATGAAAATGATAATAACAATCGCTGTAGAATTAGTAACTACAATAATGCCAGTAGTAACAGAAGTAGTAATAGCATTAGTGGCAGTAGTAGTAGTAAAAGTAGTAGCAGTAGTACTATTTGTAGTAATAACAGTAGTATAATAGTAGCAGTAATATCATTAGAAGTAATAGTAACAGTAGTTGTAACAGTAAAAATAGTAATAGCAATTATGATAGCAATGCAAACAGGAATAATAGTAACAGCAATAATAGTAATAGTAATTGAAGTAGTAATAGTAGTAGCAGTAATGTTAGCAATATTACTAATTACAGTAACAGTTGTAGTAGTAGTAATAATAGTATTAAAAGAAAAAATAATAATTGCAATAGGAATACTAGTAATAGTACTAGCAGTATTAGTAGTGACGAGTACTGGTAGTAAGTAGTAGGTAGTAGCTAACAGCAGCAGCAGTAGTAATAGCAGTAATAATAGAAATAGGAAATAGTAGTATGGTAGTGGTAGTGGTGTGTTAATAGCAGCAGCAGCAGCAGCAGTAAGAGGAGGAAGAGGAGGGGTAGCAGCAACAGTAGTAGTAGGATTAGGAGTAGTAGTGGTAGTAGTAGTGCTGCTATTACTACTACTTAAAAATAATAATAGTACTAGTACTGTTAGTAGTAATACTACTGCCAGCTAATCACTAATGATGAGCAAATAAATTATAACGGAAGACGAGACAAAGACTCTTCCACAAGACGTTTCCGAACCGTTGCGTCCTCCCAGCACGGCATCCACGTAGGAGTGTCTGGCTAGGACCGCTACACGAGGAGCGGCGCCGTCCCATCCTTCAACCGATGTCATAATTCTAATCAAAAATTAATTCCAGAAGCTTCCTTTGCCACATTCTCGGACCCGGTGTCCTGTGAGTGGACCCGTAGACTCAGAGCGAATGTTAAAGCTACTCTTCTCACCTTTACTTTCATTTTTCTACTTTTTTTTCTCTTAATAAAAAAATATATATATATACGAGGTACCCTGTATTCCTCAACCTTTTGACTCGGTGGCTGTAAATTATTGAGAATAAAAGAGGGAGGCGTCGCATCATCAAGTATTGGCGACAGCATCACAAAAATTCATCGGCATCTGCATCAGCAACTATAATTAACAATGACATGACCAGTGGGTATGGCAACGTCACCTGTGCCCGCGAGGAGAGCTGACTGGTTCCTGTGCGTCTCAGCGGTGGCGAGTGGCGTTAGCAATACCCTTTTAAAACCCGTGTACCTACATTCATTACTGTAAAATGTTTATATACTTCATGTGGCATTGTCTACTTGAGAAATTAGAGTAAAAAACAAGATTTGAGAAAATGTATCCCAAGTAATGGCATGAAGAATTGACGATATGGTAACTGAGCTTGTCCGAATATTTATTTTTTATTTCTTTATTTTTTGGAAGGTATGTTTCCTACTTCATCTTCGGACAATCTTGGCACTGTCCCAATTTCGGAAGGTTATTGATATTCATACCTCACTCATTACTTCAAGGAGAAAAAATGCCTGACAAACTATATATATATATTTCTTTCGTGTTTTCACTTATACGCCTGTAGTTTATGTGAATGTCAAATGAATTTAAAAGTGTAATCCTAGGTGATATTAATCCTTTGAAAATAGTACAATTACAAATTAGGTAGAAAATAAGTTCAGAATAAAAATGCGCAAGAATGTGTGTACTAGTTCAGTATTCGCTTGAAAATGACCTTGGGGGTGTTGTGAAGGGTAATACGGAGATCTGTGAATATTTCGGTTCAAAACTTGGTACTAACTCCGTATCATATATACCGACTTGTCTTAATGGATTACAGATGCATCGTGTAAGTGATTGGTGATAAGTATGATAGTTTAGTAAGTGTACGTGAATAATTTTATGCGACTGGTTTTGTATGTACCTGCAGCAAATCCGTAGCATGAACAGCCAGCCGTTACATGCATTATTCTACATTTATGCGACGTTTCCTGGTTTTTCTTTATAGACAAAGTTCTGCTCGACTTGTCCTCTGGACTGCCACTCGTTTTGTGTAAGCAGCCTTTTCATTGTGTAAGTAGGTCAGAAACGGTTTTAATCTTCTTTATCAGTTTAAATTTATTATTTTCTATTGCCTTCATGGGATCGGCTACAACCAGATATAACATTTGTATTATGAAACAAGGTGTTTACTTCCAAAGTAGTTTGTACAGTATTTTTAAGCCTCTTAATTAGCACAAATTATAAACTTATGCTGGTTTTACCTTGACACTAATACTATATACGTATTTTCCTTCACTTACTATGTGGGCTCTGCAAGTGTGACGATTTCTCAGGCGATGTAAAAGTAGTGTTATGCTGCACTATCTTGAAGTTTTATTTGAAACAGTACAGACAAAAAGGTTTGTGGAAACAACAACATATATATATGAAACGTTTATTACGTTGATTTAGGAAAGCAATTTTGACAAAGGGGCGAGAATTTTTTAAAGTTAAATTTTGACGACCTAAACTACCACCAAAACATTTTACGCTTTCTTAATACATTTCACATTTGGCAGTCAATTTCAAGCACAGATGGTTGTGACTATTATTGTTTTAGATTTGACCAATATTAATTGTTACGGGGGAGGTGTTTGGTTACCATTAATGCTGATGACAAAATGAATGAGAAATATCTAATACCATTCATTGTTTTTTTATATTTTATTTTACTGAATACCGTTGGCTAGGCAATAGAGAGATGCACTGATAGTACTTCTCCCTCCCTCGCTGGGTGCTCTGCCTATTACAAATCATCGTGATTATAAGTACAAACCCAGAGAAAACAAAGCTCCTCAGTTCACTGGTCTTCAAATAAAGCAAATGAGAACTCTCGGCGTCAGGAGAGGTGGGATGAGCGTGAGTGTTACCGCTATTACCTTTTTATCATGCTCTCCCCTGTTGGTGATGGTAGTCCAATTTCGGATATTTTTTTGGCCAATGGGGTCTATTTGAAGATGGTAAAATGAGTAGCCAATTGAATCCCGCCCTTGTGGTGAAAGTTATTCTAATCAATATTGCTTCCCATGCCTGTTCTGACTCACCTGACCGCCGATCATTCTCAAAAGCGACGTGAAAAAAAATGAAAATAAAGTAATCATTTTCCATCATTACTCCATGCTTACATCCAACAAAGTCAATATCTACCGCATTATTATTGATCTTGTAGACACCAACTGGCCACGACATAACAGAAAATCAGCTTAATTTTGAAGGGGTCACATCTAATAAACCAATAAGTAATACAGTATTAATCTTAAACGTACAGTGTGTTCATGGGCTGTAACATTAAAGGCGAATATCTTATTTATCTTCAAAAAAATTTCTTTATCGATTTAGCTCTGTGGTCAAATTTTATCCAAATCAAGGAGATAATCTTTCTTGCTACAACCACATGATCCACCGGTTAATACAGTAACAATCTCTTCATACTTGTTGGTTTGTCCTCTTGACTGTCGGTCAACGTTACATACAAAGAGGCGGACCGAGGGAGCCCGACCCCATGGGAAGTACAAAATGCTAAGTGGTTCATTTAGCAGTAATAAGTAATGCAGTCTGGCTGGCCGCCCCATTAGAAACGACCAGCCGACCCAAGCGTTGATTTCACACTATCAAAATTGTCTCTCAACGTTGTTCCAGAGAGAAGATCCCACTGTCATATTCACTTCACAGTCTCTTTCGAGATGGTGGCAAAGAGCTGCGACAATCACACTCGCCGGGTAGCCTGTGCACGATTGTTAACCTAACAGCCGGGACTGCTCCTCAATGGTGAGTCACAAATGCACTGGGAAAGAATTGATGTCTACTCGAGATTTGACTTCCTCGAGGTGATGTTCATTTGAGGCAGCAGAGAGGCCGAGGGACGACCGTTGATGCGGTGGTGAGGCGGCCGGGAGTATCGAGGTGGTGAGCGTAGCGTCACTGAGGAGCGCCCAGCCGTAGCCTCGACTACTGTAGCCACGCTGGCGGTGTGAAGAGTGAGCTGTGAGGAATGGTCGACCCTTCAGGCATCATGACTGGTAGGTAGGAGTGTGGAGGGTCGAGTGGAGCCTGCTAAAAGGGGTTGCGTTCATCAGTTTTGGTCGCCCTCATTAGCCTCGTCTCCTTCGCCCTGCGTGTCACTCGTCCAAAGTGTCAAGTTATCTCGCAAGAGCTGCATTATGAGCGTAGAATCCTTGTACGAGTCTTCATTTAGCGTATCCAACTCCGCAATAGCGTCGTCGAATGCCTGAAAGTGTAGAGAAAAAAAACTTTAATTACCGATATTCTCAACGATTACTGATGCAAAACCTTTTCTTTCCCTAATTCAATTTCTGACCACGTATTTGAAACTCAAATGCATTAAAATGATAAGGTTATGTAGTATCCTTACGAAGTCTTCCAAATGCTTTCGTTGTAGTAAACTTTGCATGAAATGACAAAATAGTACTATAAAATTTCTGTAACATTTACCAAACATTTATCAATTAGTAAACAGATTACATGCTTCAAAACGGAATAAAACTACAAGTTAGAAATTCCATCATTAGTATGAAATCGTGGCCGCCTAAGGTGTTTCCCGTGGGAGAGGAGAGCAACCATCATACTTTTCGCCCCGATGTGTCACCGACCACGCAGCGTATCTTCGCCCAAGCCATGACAACATCACGTTGAATTTGGGGCCATCATTTTCCACTGAGCGAAAATCCATCACATACGATATCAGACTAATCATTCTCACAATCTCAACTAGACCAAGAGATTTCGGACAAACCTTAACAGCCAAGGTCAGGTCGACATTATCTACCATACTGTTTGCTACGAGCACACTGAAATTTGGTTAGTGTAAGAACACAAGTCACGATCCTTGTTAATCTACGACTCACGAATCGACTACCCAGCTACAGAAGTGAACATGACACGCGGGGTCATGCAAGTATGCTGGGATAGCCAGGGGTCAAGGGTCAAGTTAGCTGGTGTGGTCGCGTGAGTGGAGCGGCATATGGGTCAACGCCGCGTTACCTGCTTGGCTAAGTGACGCTCTGTCAGGAGAGTTGAGGATCTCGTAGTAGAACACCGAGAAGTTGAGGGCAAGACCCAACCTAATGGGGTGGGTGTTGCATCTTTGACTTGGCGATGTCGAAGGCTTCTTGGTACGACTTCTGGGAGTCGTCAACCACAACTTGAAGAACAAGCAATGCAGGTCAATATCTCGATTAAAAAAATACAAAAGTGGCTTAAATGTATTAGTAAGTAGTCCCCAACGAAACACCGTAACGATTGCTCTCCTCTGCCTCCGGTGAAAACCTGAAATTAAAGGAAAATAATAGTGTACCTGTTTCGCTAGCTGACAAGCCTTATCAGGCGAGTTGAGGATCTCGTAGAAGAAGACGGAGAAGTTGAGCGCCAGACCCAGCCTGATGGGGTGGGTGGGCTGCATCTCTGCCTTGGCGATGTCGAAAGCCTCCTGGTACGACTTCTGAGAGTCGTCCACTACGCCTGGACACAGAAACAAGCAAGTTATGAAAAGCAAACACACAGGGAATCCACTGTAATTATACCAACCTGGGGTATGTAGGTTATACCTACAACGGTAGGATACCCCTTTATTTCTAATGGACATTAAACTAACATTAACAAATGTTGAAGGGGCATGCAAACAAAAATTACTACACATACTTTTTTAAAACTAACCTATTTCTATCCTACAATACCGTTTCTAAAGATACGAAATAGGAACATTTCTCCATAGCTATGAGCCCCTTACAAGTGTGGAATTGAAGGTCCTAAATGCCAAGAGCTGTTGAGGTGTAAAGGGCGTGTTGAAGGCGGGTGGAGTGGGCCGGCGGGGGACAGAGCGCATGGGGGGGGGGGGAGTAGGGGCAGGGATGAGTGCGGAGATGGCCGAGGGGAGGGAGGGGGAACCAGGCCCGAGCTCTTCTTTAGTTCCTGCCCTTTCATCTCGCCAGACCTCGGCAACTTTACTCGAGCAACCGAATGGACTGTTTCACGCATATGACTAATACAACAGATGCCTTTCCGCACGTAAGCCCGCCCCCCCCCCACAGCAGGCAAGGTCCGCGAAAGTGTGACCATGCTTGGAGCTGGTCACTTCGCCCACATCCACATCTACGCCTACACCACTTGTCATGCTCCACTTGCCTACGCCTCCACAACTTTCTCCGCCGCTGTCCCTAACCTCCAGCTCCTAATGTGGCTTTGACGAACCTTTACGAGCGCACGACGGCACCCACGGTTATGTATAATGCAGAATGCGAAGGCACCCATGAATGCTCCAGGCCCTTTCGAATGAGCTATTGAATACGTGGGAGATTTGAGAAGTCATAACAAAAAATGAATCTGGCAACACTTGCGGCCGAGATGCGCGTGCCGTAGTGAAAAATCAATACAGACTTAGGCATTGTCTACGAGTCGATAAAACGCTCGTCTAAAAAGAACAAGAACGCCGACGGATTCCTCGGAGAGAATTCTGAATCAGTGAAAAGGCACGCTTGCCGATGTGATAGTATTCATGATGACTACTAGCTTTTCCCTCTCGCTCTGTATGACTCATTGTGACCCGCGAATGACTCATCCCCCCCCCCCCCACCAACTCCAATCGTCGGCCGCGAGCCATTCACTACCTCCTGTCACGTGTCTATTAAATTCCCATGCCTGGCCCTTTCCAATGATGTGGACCCGATTGCGTTGGTCAGCTGACGCATCTACGACTCGGAACACTTTATATTCGAGAGGCAATAACTATCGGTTAAAAAGAGAAACAAGAACTCATGTTAAATATGTAAATGCGCGTATATATGTATATATCACGAGAATTATAAATTTGACTGCAGATTTTATTAATATGGGTGACATCATTACCACGAATCGGATCCCTTGCCGTGTATCCACGCGTTGGGGTGAGAGCACTATGTTAGGCGGGCGGGGCGTGGAAAGCCAGCCAGGTAGGCGGCCAACCGGTGGAAAACCAGTCTACGTCACACCCAGCACTCAAGCCTGGGCCTCACACACACACTCCCACTAGACGAGAGCCGTATCATTATAATATCGCGAAGACCACCACGCCCGCATGTCCGAGGCAAACGTGGTACGTGCACGAGTCCCGCGGCACACCAGCCCTCAGCGGCTCGTAGATGCATGGCGGCAGTAGCAGGCGCCGGAATTCAGTGACGTCAGCGACTCGCCCACTTGCTGGCTCGAGCCGGTCTTCCACGAGCTCTCGTACCCTTTTACACAGGTCCTTCCAGACCTACGAATATGGCCCCGCGTCCTGCAATGGCCTCCAGACCCCGCTCCCCCCCCCTTTGGTTCGACTATCCTTTTACTACAGCTTCCCATCTTTTAGAACCCTCACGGAAATGCAACCGAGTGTTACAGCGCCATCGAGCAGGAGCTGGCTCATGGCTGCGCTGCCGTGCGTCTGCCACATCGCACCGGAAACGTAACCACACCACTATTTCCTCCGTAATCTCACGGCCGTGGCATAAATACCTCAACTCCTATACTGCCACGCTCGCAAGTGCCTATTATTAGAAAGACTAATTTAGCCTACATCAAAACTGGCTCAATACATGCCGACAATCCATTCTTGTTCAAGTTCTACCGGAAATCGTTAGGGCATAGCTTCAACCATCAGATCCAGTGCGACAGGAGAAAAAAATATTATAGCCACGTCACTTTCCTTCTGAACGAACGAGTTAACAGACTGACGGTGGCAAGAAGTTACTGGGAGACTTCCTATTATTGGCCGATCTTGTTACTCCCGCCAATACCGCAATCCCCTATACTTAAAAACAGGATGACGTACAGTTAGACTCCCTCCATAAACGATATAAGGTTACAAGTAAACTACACGAACCCTCAACATTCAATTATCCACGTAAGAAGTCTATAGATAGTAGCATGAAAAGCGACCGCGAGCTCCACCATGAGCCTCCGCGGGTGATGGCAGCGACAACTGAACAAGACGTTAGTTGCCAGATGTCACCACAACGAATGGTTATCCAATATTACCAGACGAAATGGAAACCGACATTCTACTCCGCAGTAATATTCCGAGAATCTCGAGATTAAGCTGCAATGATCCGGCCGAAGTCGAATGCTGCAGGAGAGCAGAAATCCGCGACGGGAGGGAGGGGAGGATCCACACAGAAGGTTAGATAGTAAGAGGAACTAAGCGGCTTGTCCCGGAGGGAGTTTGGGCGGGAGGGGGGTTAGAGGGAGGGAAGGGACGAGACCGTTGTTGAGTCACGCCCCCGTCTGACCACGCCCTCTGCTCTTGGGACAAGTTCCCTTCGTAAATTTAATTCAACGACTTCTACAAATTGCGACTAATGTGTTACGTGTTACTAACTGAATACTAATTAAAATAACCACAAAAGTCTTGGAATAATCTTCAAAGCCACACACTAAGCTACCTCAAAAGTATCACGATACAAACTATTGTGTGAATCAAACCCAAACCTACATTGAAGCCCGAGAAATGCTTCCTCCCACATGCATTAGTTAAAACACGCAAAACCCTGCACCTAAACTTTCTCGGTAAGGAGCCTAAGGTTTAACGGAAGGTTAAACAAGTACAGCCAGTTCCCACGGGGCAGGGATGATGCTTCACGTGCCGGAAGTACGCCCCAATCCCGGATTCCACACCTACACTATCACAGGCTGATCTACTACTATAATATATACGCTATTTAAATGCCTTAGATGTCACAATAGACATGGGCATGGCTGAACTCTGACCTACATTCATCTAGCCGGCTAAAAAGGAACAGCTGTTCTGTTGGTTTTTCGAGACAAACAACTACCTGAGGTTACGGGTGGAACAAATCTAACAGAACTAATAAAGAGTACTTACCCGCTCGCGCATCACCGGTGGCGACTTCAGCAAGGTACCTGTAATAATCTCCCTTCATCTTCAGGTAGAAGACCTTAGATTCAGGGTTGGAGGCTTTGGGAATAAGGAACTTGTCGAGGAGACCCTGCAAAGCAAAAGAGTTCCTTTATTACACTTTATTCTCACGAATGAACACATGAATTCAAAAATTTCCAAAGCACCAACAAGGGTCAATTCGGTAGAGAACACGAGTCTATGGACGTGATATTATTTCAAAGGAATTCCGAGTCATTAACATTTTATCTCCTGGAGCAGTCCCCCCTTGAAACATGGAATGCCGCATGGAAGAAGTCACGCATCGCCGAACCGTTCGCCGGCGGAATTTCAGAAACAAAAGGTTCTAAATCATCAAGAAAGTCTTAAATGTTACAGATCAGATGATGCAAAAGCACAATTTATTTCTTTCGTCAAGAATCATTCAACGGAGTGACTGCGCGGGAATGAACGGCGGGCAGGAGATCCGCGAGGGGGTCGGCCTGTCTCCGGGGCAGGGGCCGGGGAAGGTGAGGGGGTTACAGGGGCGGGGTATGAATGGAATGTGGGGTTGCCACACGGCCACCGCACCCAAAGTCAAGGACCGCCACGAGAGAACCAATACCCTACAAACACACTGCCATGATCATTAGCTTTCTAGTTAGTACCACTGCGGTATTGATTTAGGACGAAGATGCGAGAAGACCATAATATAAAATAAAACTATGTCAACGACTGGTTGGCAATTACAGCGCCGCTTTCAGAGCCTCGTGTATACCTTGGAAGGCAAGAGGCCGTCCTGGAAGAACGTTGGCTCGCATACGATAGCCCGAGGCCACAGCTAGACACCGCGTACACCTTACGACAAGCACGCGGTGTCCATTACACTGTCTGGGATACACTTTTGATATTGTCTCGATTATTAAATTCGTAAAAGTTAGATACCGCTTCAAAGTACAACACACAACCCATCTACCAAGTATCATTACGAAGATAGTCATGGTACAGACATTACTCGTGTCTCGCATTTGACCCCGGAATGAAAGGAAAAATGCCTTAACACTCACCAATACATCCTGGCAGATTTCCCTAAGTTCTGTTTCGACCTGCAATGGAGGAGAAAGAACATCAAAATAAAGCCTACGCTACTCGCGGCCAAAAATCGGTTTCAATTTGTAGACAAAATTAACGAAATGAAACGCGTGGAAAGCAATCCAACGCAGACATACCTTCTCTCTGTATTCCTTTGCCATTTGTTGTTTTCGCTCTGAACCTTCTGTCTTCTGTTCTATGGATGAAATTACTCGCCAGGAACTTCTCCGAGCCCCTACGACATTCTTGTAGGCTACTGACAAAAGATTACGTTCCTCATTTGACAGCTCGACACCTGCAAGAGGGGAGAGGGCCACCTTAGTTCGGAACTTCGATGAACTCGTGCATATATGATGCAATGCGATAGTTACGGCAAGCCTTCCGTGGCCCAAAAAATACTTACCAGTTTCTGTGACCTGTTTCATGGCTGCTGCCATATCATCGTACCTCTCTGCCTGCTCAGCAAGCTTGGCCCGCTGTACTTGTTCTTCCTTGTCCGACATTGTGTCTGGAAAGAACAGAAATAAAACGTTAACGGCTGAACTACTTCAAGTCTAGCACTGAAGGAATGAACATATTACCCGCCTATGTATATGCTACCCTGCAATCCATCACCTCAAATGGTTAAAAAGGTCAGCTCACTATTCAATGTCAATTCACTCTTTCATGGGCATTCGACCCAAGCAATTCCACTTCACTCGCATTCTTCAAAATAACTCCAATAGTGAAAGGTTCCTTTTCCATCTCGAAACAATATTACAATAAAATGTATCCACAATTCAAATGAAAGAGTGCAACATGTGCACCAATGCCATTCTAAATAAAGAATACAGTATTTAGTATTCAATCGTACAAGGTCCAACCGAAAAGATGCTAATCAATGTTAGGGAGAACAAGATAAATGACGCAGCAAAACCATATTTCAATTTTTTTTTATAAAAGCACAGCAGCAAACCACCGCTTACATCTGTCTACTAACCCTATAACAAACTTGTTCAAAAGCATATCATCCGTTCCCCAACCATGGAATACATAGGTAGTACACCTGTTAATTTTCAAGTTGAATAAGAATAAAACAGGAGGAGGTTTAAACTCTTAGTATTCTGGTCTTCCAAATCCCAAGTTGGAAAAAAGGTCTTAACTATTATAAAGACGCAAGTATGCTGCATTACAATTCGTGATATCAACAGCAGATGGGTGTCATAACACTCAATGGGTAGCTGGCACAGGTGCCTTGTACAAAAAGGGCAAGCCATAATCGTCCATAAAAAATACTAATATGGAAGAGGGAGAAAAAAGAATGGGATCATGAGATCAGTGAGATAGAGGGGACTAAGGGAGGAAGCAAAAAAAGACAGTGAGGAAGAGGAAGTACAGTTACATCAGGAAGGGAGAATGGGAAGGCAAGATGAATAAAGGAAGAAGCAAAGTGATAACATCAAGGAGGAAGGAGAGCAGAGATAGTGACTGAGCAAAAGCAAAGCAGCTAGAAAGACGGGCCTGGAAATGGAAAGAGAGGGAAGAGGCAGAAAATAAGTAAGAGAAAGACAAGTGAAAACCAAGAAGTGGCAAAATAGATCTAACCACAAAGAAAAATATTTAGTAAATATAAATGGTGGTGGTGGTCGTAGTAGTATTAATAGTAACAGTAATAGGAGTACAAGTAACAGTAACAGGAGTAATAGTAACAGCAACAGGAGTAATAGTAACAGCAATAGGAGTAATAGTAACAGCAATAGGAGTAATAGTAACAGCAATAGGAGTAATAGTAACAGCAACAGGAGTAATAGTAACAGCAATAGGAGTAATAGTAACAGCAATAGGAGTAATAGTAACAGCAATAGGAGTAATAGTAACAGCAATAGGAGTAATAGTAACAGCAAAGGAGTAATAGTAACAGCAATAGGAGTAATAGTAACAGCAATAGGAGTAATAGTAACAGCAATAGGAGTAATAGTAAGCAGCAATAGGAGTAATAGTAACAGCAACAGGAGTAATAGTAACAGCAACAGGAGTAATAGTAACAACAATAGGAGTAATAGTAACAACAATAAGAGCAATAGTAACAACAAAGGAGTAATAGTAACAACAATAAGAGCAATAGTAACAACAATAAGAGTAATAGTAACAACAATAAGAGTAATAGTAACAACAATAAGAGTAATAGTAATAGTAAAAGGAGCAGCAGCAGGAATAGTAAAAGGAGCAGCAGCAGGAATAGTAGAAGGAGCAGCACAGGAATAGTAAAGGAGCAGCAACAGGAATAGTAAAAGGAGCAGCAGCAGGAATAGTAAAAGGAGCAGCAGCAGGAATAGTAGAAGGAGCAGCAGCAGGAATAGTAGAAGGAGCAGCAGGAGTAGTAGAAGGAGAAGCAGGAGTAGTAGGAGAAGAAGCAGGAGTAGTAGAAGGAGCAGCAGGAGTAGTAGAAGGAGAAGCAGGAGTAGTAGAAGGAGCAGTAGGAATAGTAGAAGGAGCAGCAGGAGTAGGAATAGTAGAAGGAGCAGCAGGAGTAGGAATAGTAGAAGAGCAGCAGGAGTAGGAATAGTAGAAGGAGCAGCAGGAGTAGGAATAGTAGAAGGAGCAGCAGGAGTAGGAATAGTAGAAGGAGCAGCAGGAGTAGGATTAGTAGGAGCAGCAGCAGGAGTAGGAGTAGTAGAAGGAGCAGCAGGAGTAAGAGTAGTAGAAGGAGCAGCAGGAGTAAGAGTAGTAGAAGGAGCAGCAGGAGTAGGAGTAGTAGAAGGAGAAGCAGGAGTAGTAGTAGTAGGAGGAGCAGGAGAAGTAGAAGGAGCAGCAGGAGTAGGAGTAGTAGAGGAGCAGCAGGAGTAGGAGTAGTAGAAGGAGCAGCAGGAGTAGGAGTAGTAGAAGGAGCAGCAGGAGTAGGAGTAGTAGAAGGAGCAGCAGGAGTAGGAGTAGTAGAAGGAGCAGCAGGAGTAGGAGTAGTAGAAGGAGCAGCAGGAGTAGTAGAAGGAGAAGCAGGAGTAGTAGAAGGAGAAGCAGGAGTAGTAGAAGGAGAAGCAGGAGTAGTAGAAGGAGCAGCAGGAGTAGTAGAAGGAGCAGCAGGAGTAGTAGAAGGAGCAGCAGTAGTAGTAGAAGGAGCAGCAGGAGTAGTAGAAGGAGCAGCAGGAGTAGTAGAAGGAGCAGCAGGAGTAGTAGAAGGAGCAGCAGGAGTAGTAGAAGGAGCAGCAGGAGTAGTAGAAGGAGCAGCAGGAGTAGTAGAAGGAGGAGCAGCAGGGTAGTAGGAGGAGCAGCAGGAGTAGTAGAAGGAGCAGCAGGAGTAGTAGAAGGAGGAGCAGCAGGAGTAGTAGAAGGAGGAGCAGCAGTAGTAGTAGAAGGAGCAGCAGGAGTAGTAGAAGGAGCAGCAGGAGTAGTAGAAGGAGCAGCAGGAGTAGTAGAAGGAGCAGCAGGAGTAGTAGAAGGAGCAGCAGGAGTAGTAGAAGGAGCAGCAGGAGTAGTAGAAGGAGGAGCAGCAGGAGTAGTAGGAGGAGCAGCAGGAGTAGAAGGAGCAGCAGTAGTAGTAGAAGGAGCAGCAGCAGTAGTAGGAGCAGCAGCAGTAATAGCAGTAGTAATAGCAGGAGCAGGAGTAATAGTAATACTAGTAGTATGAGTAGCAGTAGTAACAGGAAGTAGTAATAATAGGAGGAGGAGTAGGAGTAGCAGTAGTAGTAGTAATAATAATGATAGTAGTAGTAATAGTGGGAGTGGGAGTAGGAGTAATAATGTGAGTGGGAGGAGCAGCAGTAGGAGTAGCAGTAGGAGTAGCAGTAGGAGTAGCAGTAGGAGTAGCAGTAGGAGTAGCAGTAGGAGTAGGAGTAGGAGTAGCAGTAGCAGTAGGAGTAGTAGCATTAGTAGCAGTAGCAGTAGGAGTAGTAGCATTAGTAGGAGTAGTAGTAGTAGGAGTAGTAGGAGTAGTAGGAGTAGGAGTAATAGTAGTAGTAATAGTAGTAATAGTAGTAGTAATAGTAGTAGTAGTAGTAGTAGTAGTAGTAGTAGTAGTAGTAGTAGTAGTAGTAGTAGTAGTAGTAGTAGGAGTAGTAGTAGGAGTAGTAGAGTAGTAGGAGTAGTAGTAGTAGTAGTAGTAGTAGTAGTAGTAGTAGTAGTAGTAGTAGGAGTAGTAGGAGTAGTAATAATAATAGTAGTAGTAGTAGTAGTAAATAATAGTAGTAGTAGTAGTAGTAATAATAATAGGAGTAGTAGTAGTAGTAATAGGAGTAGTAGTAGTAGTAATAGGAGTAGTAGTAGTAGTAATAGGAGTAGTAGTAGTAGTAATAGGAGTAGTAGTAGTAATAGGAGTAGTAGTAATAGGAGTAGTAGTATAGGAGTAGTAGTAGTAATAGGAGTAGTAGTAGTAATAGGAGTAGTAGTAGTAATAGGAGTAGTAGTAGTAATAGGAGTTAGTAGTAATAGAGAGGAGTAGGAGGAGGAGTAGGAGTAGTAGGAGCAGTAGTAGTAGTAGTAGTAGTAGTAGGAGCAGTAGTAGTAGTAGTAGTAGTAGTAGTAGTAGTAGTAGTAGTAGTAGTAGTAGTAGTAGTAGTAGTAGTAGTAGGAGTAGTAGGAGTAGTAGGAGTAGTAGGAGTAGTAGGAGTAGGAGTAGGAGTAGGAGTAGGAGTAGGAGGAGTAGTAGTTGGGGAAGGGGAAGTAGTTATGGAAAAGGATAAAGAAAGCTTAAAACAGTGATGAAGATGAGCAATGGACAAAATAAACAGACAAGACAGGTTATCAAGAGGATAGCAGACACAGTAAGGAGGCCAGGCGATTGAGAATTATCATAAAAGGTTAAGAAATTAAAATAACTGCTAAATGTAAAGTTATGGAGTTATGGCTATAACCAGGTTAGAAATGAGATGCGTTTCAGGGGGATGGGGTCAGAAGAAAACCTCCCCTTATTATAAACCGATGTGTTACATAAAAGATAATAAACAATCTAAATACTTGAAAAACTAACTGGATCCAATGAACTAATAGTTATCAGAAATAGGGAAAGATGTTAAAAATGAATAAATATTCCTATCACTAACCATGAGCCCAAGTTTATTAAGACCTGCTGAGAGAAGTGGTGGGACATGGAATTTAAACAGAAATGACATTACAGGACACAAGTGTGGGACAACCTTCTCCACAACTGAACTGCAACAAAAGCTGGGTTCAAGTCAGAGGACCAAGACTAACAGAATGACATGGGTGGGAGAAGTCTGAAGAGACTCACTTTAAATAAAAATCCATCAGATGTCAAAACTTGAAGTAATTGAGGAAAAACCCAGCTCCTCTGATACCTGGTTAAAAATCAATTCAGCCTTACAGCAGGTTTTATTACACCTGTGGGCAATATGCTGGTGTGTGTATTTTGGTAATGCACAATAATACTGAAATTACTTATTAAAAAAGGGTTGAGTAATTTTTGACACCCAGGTGTTGGAATTTTAAAGCCCACACTGACTTTTGCTAATTTCTGTAAGTTCAGAACAGCCACCAATTTAAAAGGTTGATATATACAAAGGAAGAGACGACATTGTATAATATCTGTTCCCAAAATTCTTTCTCAAAATATCGGTAACAAAAGAGAAGTCATTTTACACACCATGGGCCACTTTATCTCCATCTAGTGCTTGTCTATATAAAATATAATTATATTGATACAAGGTTCTAAATTCTCAAATCTGATTAACCACAATTCAGACAAATCTCAAAAAATTCTGAGGATTGAGAGAATTTACCATGGAGAGGTGGATGATTACATCAGTGAAACAGACCAACTGAATTGTTTCATAGAACATCTTAGCAGGGGCCAAATTATCTAAACAGTTGGCATACTTTGGAGACTAAGTATTGAGACAGTACATTCTGAAGTAGGAAAAACAAATAAATCCTTTTCATAGAGTAACAATCTAATTCAAAATTGTCAGATCAGTAAAAATCATAATTTAGGATAGTCATACAGAAGCTATGCAACTGTATATTTAATACTTTTGAATTTTCCTCCTTAGAATACAATGGCCGGCATTTCTGGGCACTTTCCATTTACAATCTATACAATTTATATTTCTAAGTCATCACTGCTCTTGGTAACAAGAACCAGTATTTTCTATAATTGCTTTATGCCTATAATCTTGCTCGTTTCCAAAAGTCCCTAACCATTACCATCATGACATTTTGTAAAGGTCATGAGAAAATTATTCAAAATCTAGGCCAACATGACCCAACACCTTTCCCTTCTGAATAACTGAATGAGCTTACTACATACATCTTGAATGACATCACCAGCAAGATTTTAACATTTAAAAATTCTTCTATATCATCACTATTACCAATAACATTACTTTTGATAAATTCAATTTCAAGCAGATAATGTGGGTCGTGGTGCTGATCAATTTATGTTCCAATTTTCCTTGAAACCAACTTTTTTTTCACCTTACTAATGACAGCACAGATAAATCAGCAGCTAAAGCAAAAAGAAGTCTTCCACATCACCACATTTTCCGTAAATGCTGGCTTCAACTATGCTAAATCCGACAGCATTTGCCAATGAACTCTTCGGGAAACAGTTTTTCATAAGCCACAGGTTCTGCCGTTATTTCTAATCCTTCCACATACATGTTCAAGTCATTTCCTCTGAAATAACATTAGTGCAAGGGGGGAGGTAGGTTAGCTTTTGAAGCCTGTGCTGTGGGTTGTACTCCAAAGCTCAAAGACCTGTTAGTTTGTAATAAGATTAGAACAATAATACAGACTTTAAACCTGGTGCTCACTTCCCAAACAATCCATTTTTTCTGCGGATAAAAGCTGTCGCAAATATCCATCCACGAAGCCCTACAGCATACTTAAACCCGAAACACTGACAATTAAGACCAGCTTTGATCCCCCCTTCTCATTCCCTTCTGAATTACCTTCTAACCCTTAACCTGGCCAACAAACTTACGGATTACAACCCCATGCACACTTAGCCATGGTGGAACCCCTGGCAATTTGGGGAGACATGCTCTTGCCTATTTTCTCAATACATTCCCAAGACTTATCCTCAGTCTCCCATAACAATTAAAATACCCTATTACCAAACCATAACCATATTCTAAGAATAAACCAAAAACCTAAACCCAAGACTATTTCACAGGCAACCTTCACCCTTAAAATACCATACTCTTACACGAGGACAAACCCGCAAAATTCTATGAACACTTTTGTCATTCTCCAAATATTTTCCCCAATTCTGGCTTCACCATTACCACAATTTCACATACTCCAATTACAAAAAGCACCAAACGCTCCACAAAACATCCACAAGCACCCATTCACTCACATTCCACATACGCCAAAAGAACACATTTATTCCTCATACAAGAGCCATTCCCTCAAGCTATCAAATAAAACTCAAATTCCCCATTCCCAACACTCACAAATTCTGGAATTCCCTTCAAAACTTTCCCCC